ATCATCATTTGATAAATAAATATAAATGGGTTTTTAAAAAATTCTCAGTGGTAGCACGGAGCCTGGAATTGTGCCCGGTATATGACAATACGCTCACCCCCTATTACATGGGACTTATAACATAAAATATTGAAAATTGGGTGTTACATTGTACAGTGACATTAAGTGCCGTAATGTGTACCTCTGCCCCTTCGGGGATTAAAGGCGTGATGTTATGTTAATAAATAGGTTTAGTACCTAATAGTACCTCAAATCCTAATAGTATGTAGGTACCTCGAATAATTTCGAGGGTAAGATACATCAAACATCAACAGCCGGAATAAACAGCATCAGCAGGTTTGGAAGACTTACAATAGAGCAGACGGATCACCTGATGGTAAGAAATGGGCGTCGCCCATGGACGCCCGTAACATGAGAAGAGTTAGCCTTGCGGGCTTTTTTTATGGAATAGGAGGCAAACGAGCAGACGGGTAACGAGTAAGAGACGGGCTAACGAGTCTCGGGTTCGATTCCCGGGTCGGGCAAAGTATTAAAAACCTTAGTTTAAAAATACTTTTGTTTTCCCACGGGAATATAATTTTTTCCGGGATAAAAAGTACCCTATTATTTAATCCAGACTTCTAACTTTACGTATGCAAAAATTCAAAGCAACCGGTTTAGTAGTTACGGCGTGAAAGCGGAACAAACAAACAAACAAACTCACTTTCCGATTTATAATATTATTTTTATTTTTTTATAATCTTTGTTTTGTGTGCTAATTGTCAAATAAATGTTTTTTCTTTCTTTCTTTCTTTCAAACGAGACCGCGTTCGGCTCTTTGATTGGTTGGTTCATTGGCACCGGCCAATCACAGCGCCGAACGTGTACTCGTTTCGAATATACTTATCAAACTCGTACTATGACCTCAATACCCTAGTACTTATTGCAGATCTTTAACTGTGTCGTGGAGAACTTAACGGGTAACCGGGGCTCCGGCTCGAAGTGTAGGAGTAGGAACGGGGTGGTTTTTAGTCAGTAAGAGTCTGACACTCCCTCCCGTCTCACCCAAGCGGGAGCAGTCATTCGACGATTATCCCCCTTAAAAACAATAAAAAAATACCCTAACTATGTACGAAATCAGTTCTCTGAGGTTATGGGAAGTACTTAGTACAAGTACAAGTTCTATTTTGATGATCATGCATGAGTGAGTGAGTGTCATAAATGCGAAACTTTGCTTTCGCATAACTTTAACCAAATGACCTACAGACTTAAAATTTTGGATTTTAACATAACATAACATCACGCCTTTTATCCCCGAAGGGGTAGGCAGAGGTGCACACAGAAGTAACACCCACTATTTATGTTATGAGTCCCATGTAATAGAGGGTAAGCCTATTGCCATATACCGGGCTGGAAATGTCCAGACTCCGTGCTTCTACTGAAAACTTCTTTAAAAACCCAGTAACACTTTGCCCGACCCGGGAATCGAACCCGAGACCCCTTGCCCGGCAGTCGCACTTGCTACCACTCGGCCAACGAGGCAGTCACTTTGGATTTCAAGTATGTTATTATAGCTTACTGGATGGTGAAAATTTCTGCATTCTTATCCAGGGGTTCTCAAATAGGGGTCTGAAAATGCTGCGAAATGGTTTCAGTAAAGGATTGAACGGCAGTGATGGCTTCGCACTCATCAGCCGAATATAGTAGGTACCTCCTCTTGTTTTTGAAGTCGGGAATGATGTTGTGGCGACGCATGCCACATGTCAACGGATGACGTCACAAGAATCCTACATCGCACATGCAAAGTTTACAAGCGAATAAACACGGATAGAAAATCCCAACGAACAACTGTTGGGCAGAAAGCCCGCCAGGCACGATCACCTCGCCTGGTCGGAGGATCCTCCTTTTCCGATCTTAGGGAACTATACACTCTGTTCTCTAAAGTGGTGACCCCGACGTGATTGGAAGCAACCTTCACTTCACGGAGCAGATCAGCATCATCCGTATCGCCATTCCTCTCATTCATCATTTCTCTGCTGAACAGTAATCAAGTCGCAGCAAACCAGCATCCTCGGCCTCATCAGGGACCACCATCGCCTGCAACGAAGTCGTGCAGCCTGGTTCTTCCCTACGGCCTCACCAGCGTCTAGGCACAGCACTTCTGCACACGGTTCTGAAGGACATCTCCTCCCGTCAACGCAGACGCCGGCCACTACGCACCTACCCTCGCAGCATCTATTCCCCGACTCACCGTGGGACTGCGAGCTCATCTCTCCGACTCACTGGAGTTTAACCCTGCACCGCTCACCCGACTCACTGGGCACTCAGCGGCACAGTTCCGACTCACTGGAACTAGGGACTTTCTACACTGGTTCTGGCACCGCTCATCTCAAGCATCAACAGCCGTCTCAGCGGGATCGACCTCCGGTCTTGGGAGGGAGTGATGAGGCGACGCATGCCACATGTCAACGGATGACGTCACAAGAATCCTACATCGCACATGCAAAGTTTACAAGCGAATAAACACGGATAGAAAATCCCAACGAACAACTGTTGGGCAGAAAGCCCGCCAGGCACGATCACCTCGCCTGGTCGGAGGATCCTCCTTTTCCGATCTTAGGGAACTATACTCTCTGTTCCCTAAAATGTTATATTAAGTATATAGCATATGTTTGACTTGGCGGGGTACCACCGTGTCCCCAGATTTGACTAATTCATCGACTCGTAGTTGTTACGCTGCGGCGCAATAGACGCCATTTTTTTTTTTGTTAAGTGGGGAAAATCATCGAATGTCTGCTCCCGCCTGGGTGAGGCGGGAAGGAGTGTCAGACTCTTACTGACTAAAAATCACCCCGTTACTTATCCTGCACGTCGAGCCGGAGCCCCGGTTACCCGTTAGGTTCTCCGCGACATAGTTGTTACGCTGCGGCGCAATAGACGGCCCAACGATGTAAATGAGGAACTTTTGTGCATCGCTACAACTCTCCGTACACGAGGCGCGAACTCAGCATTAATTATTGTATTTGTTTCGTATTGTATGTACATTATTTTGTTATATTTTGATGATTTTTGTTATTTTCTTTACGCTTGTTACATAGCAACAGTCCACTTAAGGGGCCAGTAGAATACCAGCGCGAGGCCCTGTCTTGCACATGCTGAACTGGTCCCATTTCACCGCAGACTTGGGACATTAGTAGATGTACTTATGTGTAAAATGTCTAAAATCTGTACGTGTCACCTGTTTTAGCGTGTGAAATAAAGTTTTTCTTTCTTTCTTCTTTCTTTCTTTCCATGGATTCCGCAGATTGGCAAATTATTTGAAATACATAATATTAATATTGCATCAGTCGTGCAGCGATGGCGAAATTGCTGCATCAGCCCATCGTGCTCTACAACGTGACGGACCGGACGACGGCATCGTTTTCTAGAATACACGACCCTTTTGTCTCCAACTTCGACCAAGAGTCACTTAATTTAGAAATAATACTTTTCTGTAATTTTATTCAATAAATGAGTTGCAATCAATTTCGTCCTTATTTGCAACTTACCTGCCGGAAAGACATAATTCGCTTTTAAGTTTGTTATTAATATTATGTATTTATGTAAGTATCTGTATTTTTATTTTTCATAATCTTTGTTTGTGTGCCTTTGCCAAATAAATGCTTTTTCTTTCTTTCTAATTGTCGATCTAATTTCAATCCGTGTAAAGAGCGTCATTCTTAGTACCACATCGAGACCAATTATCACAAAGTATTGTAATTTTTAATTAATTAAAGTTATATTTTAAGAAAAAAATTGGTTTCCTTTGCATCCTCCGGCTACAACCTACGTAATTTAGTAGAATCCTGATGGATTACCTGATAGTAAGCAAACGGCGTCGCCCATGGACACCTGGAACACCTGAGGCGTTACAAGTGCGTTACCGGCCTTTTGGGGATTAGGAGTTTGTGGATCGTTGGGGAGATTGGGGAAGGAGAGGGTAATTGGGCCTCCGGTAACCTCGCTCACACGACGAAACACGACGCAAGCGTTGCTTCACGTCGGTCTTCTGCTCGGCCGTGGTATCACTCCGGTCGAGCCGAACCATGGCTTTCTCATACTTAAGTAGGTAGAAATTAAAACAACAAGAATAAAAAATAAATTATTTATTTAATAATAATATAAATTGGATACACCTAAAAACATTTAAAATTAACAATAAGCGTTACAAATGCGTATGAAGCGTAAAATAGTGAATTGAATAACATACAGTAACAATACGCCTTTTAATATTTAAAAGGTAGGCAAAGCTGCACATAGTATTAAATACTAGCTTTTATCCGCGGTTTCGTTCGCGTCACAAAAGGATAAAAAGTAGCCTATGTGACATATACCAATACACACTTATTTTATTTATTATTTAATCCGTACTTCTAACTTTACATCTGCAAAAATCGAACCCACGGCGGCACAGCAGCGGGCGCGGCTCTCGCCGCGCCCGCTGCTGTGCCGCCACACGCCGCGGCGTGTGCGCCGCTGTTGGAGCACACTAGGGTGTGCTCCAACAGCGGCGCGGGTAGTGGGTTCGATTCCGGGAATATTGCCATTATACAAAACTTGAGAATTAGTTTCTTTAAACGCGCATTTCTCTGGAACTACTAGTTCGATTTCAATAATTCTTTTTGTGTTGTATCCTTACTAATATTATAAATCGGAAAGTGAGTTTGTTTGTTTGTTCCACCTTCACGCCGTAACCACTAAACCGATTGCTTTGAATTTTTGCAGACGTGAAGTTAGAAGTCTGGATTAAATAATAGGGTACTTTTTATCCCAAAAAAAATGATATTCCCGAGGGAAAACAAAAGTATTAGTATAGATGGCGCTGTGTGTATTGGTATATGTCACATAGGCTATTTTTTATCCTTTTGTGACGCGAGCGAAACCGCGGATAAAAGCTAGTAGTCTGTATATCGAGGAAGCCTATAGGCTATAAAACATCACGCTACCACAAATAGGAGCCGAGTAAATTAAAAATTACATATTTAATCATCGCCCGCTAAAGCGGCGAACTTATTCGCTATAGCAGCCGTTTCGCTGTCATCAGTGCTATCATCGTCAGCGTCAGAGTCATCAGAATGTCTGTCGTCATCAGATTCTGACGTCAGAACATCTGACTTCTGTTCTTCTTGGTCTGACGTCAGCGCTTGCACCCATCTGATGTACTTAATTTCTTCGCAAGCTTCATATTTATCTGTAGAAAAAAAGAAATAAGTTAATTTTTATGGTTTAACCCGTCGAGTGTCCGCGTTCCTTATGATCCGACGGGTGCACACGTGACATTTGGAGAAAAAAAGAAATAAAGAAAGAAAATGCATTTATTTGGCCACTGGCACACGAAGACAAGGATCATTACAATAGAAATAAAAAATACAGTCAAAATAAAAACAAAACATTAATAATAGATTTTATAAAAGAGAAAGCAGCATGGAGCATTTTTTCTTATGATCCACCGGGTGCTCATAAGGACGCTCGAGGGGTTAAGATGAATTTATTTATATTAGATTAATACTTTTTAAAGAATTTTTGATTTTTTCTAGGTTTGCTAAGACATAACATAACATAACATCACCATCGCCTTTTATCCTCGAAGGGGTAGGCAGAGGTGTACATTATGCCACTGTACAATGTAACACCCACTTTTCACTATTTATGTTATGAGTCTCATGTAATAGGGGGTGAGCCTATTGTCATATACCGGGCACATCCAAACTCCGTGCTTCTATTGAGATTTTTTGAAAAAACCCGGTAATACTTGCCCGGCCAGTCGCACTTGCGACCACTCAGCCAACGAGGCAGTCAATTATAATAAAACATGCTAAAAATGGAGAACTCCGGGGAACACCATCTTTTAAATGATTTACCTCGATGTTCCGCGAACCCTGGCGGTCGAAGCCACAGGCAAATTCTGCCGTCGAGAGCCATCCGAAGCAGACTGTTCGCCGCTCTATATGTGTCTAATCTGTGGACAAATATTACAATACATTATCATGTTATTTCTTACTGATATTTGAATTTTTCAAGTGTGGGACAGCCATTCTTCTCCACGAATGGGCCGGCTCGACCGGAGTGATACCACGGCCTCACAGAAAACCGACGTGAAGCAACGCTTGCGTTGTGTTTCGTCGTGTGAGTGAGGTTACCGGAGGCCCAATTACCCTCCCCTTCCCCAATCTCTCCAATTCCTGAATCCCCAACGATCCTCAAACTCCTAATCCCCAAAAGGCCGGAAACACACTTGTAACGCCTCTGGTGTTCCGTGTGTCCATGGGCGACGCCGATGCTTACCATCAGGTGATCCGTCTGCTTGTTTACCGGCTTATGCCATAAAAAAATGCTAATTAGAAATAGCACTTATTTCAAAAATGCGAAAGTTTGTCTGTATATGTGTGAAATGAAATGAAGAGTTTATTCGGCATACGGCATTAATGCAGGGAACAAAAAGTAGCAATACAATACTATTTGATAAAATAACAATATAAGAGTGTAACACAAGAGAGTGAGAATCCTTACTAATATTATAAATCGGAAAGTGAGTTTGTTTGTTTGTTTGTTCCACTTTCACGCCGTAACCACTAAACCGATTGCTTTGAATTTTTGCAGACGTGAAGTTAGAAGTCTGGATTAAATAATAGGGTACTTTTTAACCCGAAAAAATTTGATATTCTCGAGGGAAAATGAAATTATTGGTATAGATGGCGCTGTGTGTATTGGTATATGTCACATAGGTTACTTTTTATCCTTTTGTGATGCGAGCGAAGCCGCGGGTAAAAGCTAGTAAAAGATAAAAGCTAAATTATAAAACTAGAAGATAATAACAATAGGTATAAAATAGGTTTGTCACTCAATCACGACTGAAGGGATCGGAATGAAATTTAAAACAGGGTTAGATATAATTATGTATCATATTTTGGCAACAGGCTTTTTTATAAGGGAAGAAAATCATCGAATGATCATGGGTGTGGCAGAAGAAGCATGAAAGCAGAATTAATGCGGTGGAAATGAGAGCCCTGAGAAGTATGTGTGGACTAAAGTTGAGTGATCGAGTGAAAATAGTGTTATTAGAGAGAGGTGTGGATTGAAAGACGATGTAGTGACAAGGATTGAAAAGGGAATGTTACGCTGGTTTGGACATGTAGAGAGGATGGATGAAAGTAGAGTAACGAAAGAAGTATACAGAGCGGATATGAATGGGGCCGTCGGTAGAGGGCGCCCTAGACGGACATATGAAAAGATTGATTTGTGTCAGAGCAATGTAAAACAGACTTTTTTTTTAAAGAGTAACGAATGAAGTTTCTTGCTCGTTCTTCTCCACTCGAATCGACATTTTGGAACGAGCGCCTAGCTTCACTGACGGACAGACTGACAGACTATTATTTATTTCATATTTGTTGACGTTTCAAAAGTACCAAATTAAGGTTTAATTGAAATAAATGCTTTTGAGTTTGAGTTTAATGACTGTTGATGAAGCGAAAGACGTATGTAGGAATCGTAGTAATTGGCGTTCCCTAGTCTCTACCTACCCCCATGGGAGACAGGCGTGAACTTATATAATGTATGATGACGATGTATAGATTAAATATTAATTAATACATACCTGGCCGCTTTAGCAGTAAGGTACCCTTTCTTCTTGGCCCATCCATCGCATATGTCTCGCGGGGACCAAGTGTCGTCGCCTTCTGGGTGTTCTATGCGTAGAAGCTTTGGCATGTCCAGTCTCTCTGACAGATACCTGGGGATACATAGAAATAATATGGTTACAAAGTAATGGTTAATTATGAAATGAAATAAGTTGAAATGAAATGAAATAAGTTGAAATGAAATAAGTTGAAATGAAATGAAATAAGTTGAAATGAAATGAAATAAGTTTATTCGGCATAAGACATGCACGCCAGAAAAGACATATAAATATAAAAAAGTTTAAAAACAGAAAAATTAAAAGATAAGACTGCTTCGTTGGCCGAGTGGTCGCAATTGCGACTGTCGAGCAAGGGGTTTCGGGTTCGATTCCCGGGTCGGGCAAAGTATTACTGGGTTTTTAAAAATTCTCAGTAGTAGCACGGAGTCTGGAACTGTGCCCGGTATATGGCAATAGGGTCACCCCTATTACATGGGACTCATAACATAAATAGTGAAAGTGGGTGTTACATTGTACAGTGGTATAATGTGCACCTCTGCCTACCCCTTTGAGGATAAAAGGCGTGATGTTATGTTATGTTGTTTAAAAGATAATACCAGGTAAATTATAAAACTAAAACTAAAACAAGCCAATAATACAGGTGCAACATACTGCGTGGTGTTGGCGGACATGCCCAATCCGAACGGGTCACCTACTCAGCATAAAGCTGTATATTATATATGTATATATATATATATATATATATAGCTTTTTTATTTCAGTGTAAAAGTATATTTACAATTCAAAGTGTGGCGACGCATGTCACATGTCAACGGATGACGTCACAAGAATCCTACATCGCACATGCAAAGTTTACAAGCGAATAAACACGGATAGAATATCCCAACGAACAACTGTTGGGCAGAAAGCCCGCCAGGCACGATCACCTCGCCTGGTCGGAGGATCCTCCTTTTCCGATCTTAGGGAACTATACCCTCTGTTCCCTAAAAAAGTATTAGTAACTTCAAATATTGAACGTCCAATGGGGATGATGACAGGGTATGAAAATTAAAAATATAATTAGTCCGTAAGTTAGGTAACGAAAAAGTATTAGACTAGACTAGATTATTATTTTGTCGTATAATAAAACAATACTTAGATAAAACGAATCAAAGTTTAGGAGTGGGGGCTAAAACGTCATTCCTTAGTATAAAATGTACTGAGAAGTGACGTCACGCGACATTTCAAATCAATATATCTTCGAAACTATTCGTTTCTGTGAGAAAATAAAAAATACGTGTCTAATGTTTTTAAATAATCTATCAGACGGACATTAAAATAAAAATTAGTCCTCTACCCCATTACGAATAGCTAATTCCCTATGGATGACGAACGCGAGGTCCGCAACACTAGTGCCATCTAGTTAGCGGAAACATACGTGAGGCCCTATTTAAATAGGAACTTACCTAATTGTAGTGTAAGGTTCCCGTAACTGCGCTATGGGGTAGGATCCCATGAGTATTTGTATCGGCCGGGGAACTGTCGACGGGAACACCAAACCGGGACAGTCGCATAGTCGTACCTATGATGAAACACAATGAATTGAGAATTACCTCAACTTCGGCTTTAATTATACACTTTTAAAACGACAAAATAGAATTTTTAATTACACTGCCTCGATGGTCAAGTGGTCGCAAGTGCGACTACCGGGCAAGGGGTCTCGGGTTCGATTCCCGAGTCGGGCAAAGTATTACTGGGTTTTTAAAAAAAAATTCTCAGTAGTAGCACGGAGTCTGGAATTGCGCCCGGTATATGGCAATAGGCTCGCCCCCTATTACATGGGACTCATAAAAAATAGTGAAAAGTGGGTGTTACATTGCCCTTATATTATATATTAATAGATAGAAATTATTAATATATAAAATATAATAACCTATTTAGAATTAAGATTTTTATCTGTACTATGACCAATTTCTTATAATGGATAAAGATTTATTTATTTATTTATCATAATGTCTAATTCCGGCCACTGTGCCCAATACCGGCCACTCACCTGACGCGTCAAATAAATAGTCTGGAAGTGCTTCGTGTGTCCCGGAATCTTGGAAACCACGTCCTAAACCAAGCTGTAGTGCCTAATTTCATCCACGGGGGCTTAATACTACCCATGGAGCCTCATTCTAGCCATCAGGTGCGTCCAAAATCCAGCTCCGGTGCCTAATATCGCCAACGGAGCCATATTTCAGCCACAATTTCTAACTTCAGTCAGTCAGTCGAATCAGTCACAAGGCCTAATTCCGGTCACAGTGCCTAATACCGGCCACAGTGCCTAATACCGGCCACAGTGCCTAATACCGGCCACAGCGCCTAATACCGGCCACAGTGCCTAATACCGGCCACAGTGCGTAATACCGGCCACGGTGCCTAATATCAGTCACAACGCCTAATTCCGGCCACAGTGCCTAATACCGGTCAGGAAGTATAATGTCGACCATAGAGCCTAATATCAGTCAACGCCTAATTCCGGCCACAGTGCTCAATACCAGCCACTCACCTGAGGCGTCAAATAAATAGTCTGGAAGTGCTTCGTGTGTCCCGGAGTCTTGGAGACGGATACCACGCAGCGTCCCATTAGGGCGTTCAATAGGGACGACTTGCCGACATTAGGCTGTCCCACGCAGCCAATAGATAGGACGCCGGACTTGTAGCGTTCGTGCGTGTAGAATGATGTGTCAGCTTTTTCTAATATCGTCTCTCCTGTGGACAAAATACACGGACATACAATCTACCAGATTTGCGATATATTAAAGAAGGGCCAAATTAAAAGTACCCTTAACCGACCCAAGTGCGACTGCTGGTCAAGAGGTCTCGGGTTCGATTCCCGGGTCGGGCAAAGTATTACTGGGTTTTTAAAAATCTTAGTAGTAGCACGGAGTCTGGAAATTTGCCCGGTATATGGCAATAGGCTCACCCCCTATTACATAGGACTTATAACATAAATAGTGAAAAGTGGGTGTTACATTTTACAGTGGCATTAAGTGCCGTTATCGCACCTCTGCCTACTCCTTCGGGGATAAAAGGCGTGATGTTATGATATGTTAACCGATGATGAAGCGAAAGAGGTACGTAAGTATCGTAGCAATGGGGGTTCCATAGTCTCTGGCCATGGCTAGCAACTAGTGAATGCATTCTCGTAAGATTGGTGTCAAGCGAGATCTCGCGAGATTATAGAGGTGAAATACTGTCAAGCGACATCTCGATAAAATACAATCTCGAGAGATTAAGAGAAAAAAATCTATATAATTATATATCTATATAAATCTATACTAATATTATAAAGAGGAAAGATTTGTATTTTTGTATTTTTGTATGTTTGTAATGAATAAACTCAAAAACTACTGAACCGATTGCAATAATTTTTTACCATTCGAAAGCTGCATTATTCAGAAGTAACATAGGCTATATAATATCACGCTAGGTCCTATAGTTGTGGAGCAGTAACCAAAAATGTTTTAAAAACGGGGGAAAAGTATCGTTTCTGAGGCCTTCCGTGGCGTGCGCTGAGCATAATATAGTTAAAGTTATACAAAAATGGTCTATAGATGAATTGTTTATCTTAACATTATTTTTAAAAAAGTCCGCGAGAGCATATGTCTACCTTTTATAGTTTACCCATAACAATCGTTTTAATGAATGGTTCAATCCTTATAAAAGTTTGCTCTAGATAACTTTTGAATTGTTCAATCGGTTACCTTAAGACGCGACATCGACAACGGAGGGCAGGTCGCTAAAAAAAAACTGAGAATAAATATAAATAAAACGTAAAACTATGTAAAAAATCTTAAGTCCCCCCGTGCGAAGCCGGGACGGGCCGCTAGTAATCTATATATCTATATAAATATCTCACGAGATCTCGTCCATATTTCGACCGAGATTAATCTCGCAAAAACAAGATATCGCGAGATCAAGATTGTATTCCCTACCCTATATACTCACCAATCTGAGCGCCTTCATCATAATCAAACTCCACGTCAGTCTCTTCTTTGATCTTCTTCTCCCAAGAAGAGAGATCTACTTCTCCCTTGACTATCTCCTTGCACGCTTCGAGTATCTTCGTGGCTCCTTCTGCACACATACGCTGCTTACCCTTGCGGCGTCTTACTTGGAGGCCTAGAAAGAGTATAATTATATCTTTATATATATAATTCTTCTGTGAGTGTGTATATCACTGAACTTCTCTCAAACGACTGGACCGATTTTGATGAAATTTTTTGTGTGTGTTCAAGGGGATCTGGGAATGGTTTAGATTCACAAATCAGCCCGTCAGATGGCGCTGCAGTCGATGTTTAGGTTAGTTATCCTAAACAGCTGAACTAATTTGAATGAATGTTTGTTTATACATTCAAGTGGATATGCAGGACAACGTCTGTCGGGTCCGCTAGTCTTATATAAAATACTATACAAAACTAGTCAAATTCAATACTTTTTTCGAACTGTCAAAAACGACAGTTTTGTACGAATTTTGTACGAGATTGTGTATTGTGACGATGAACTGTATAAATCCGGCACTGACTCCCTCTCGCCTAACCCAAGGGGGGAGAAGTCATTCGATGCCCCCCCCCCTCCCCAAGAAAAAACAAAGACCATAATTTACATAGGAAAGTAAGTCTTAATAGTTTAGTACAGGGCGCAAACTGTTTTACCATAATTAAAGATATATTTTTTTACGATTTTGTAAGTTTAAAAATAAATAAATACTTTTTTTTTACTTATTATCGAAAATCACTAACGGCAACAGGAAAAGACGGGACAAGAAAAATCGCGAACAGAAGCTATAATTTTTTTTTTGGTTTTTAAACAAACATTGCCCCACACTAGGATTTTCTCCTGTGTCGTGTGTACGTTTACAAACATACAAGTTCACATACACAATGACACACAGACCCGAAACAACAATTTGTGGATCACACAAAGTGTTCCGTGCGGGAATCGAACCCGCGACACGTTGCACGGCAGCCTTTTACCCAGCCACCGCGCCAACCGTGCAGTCAATAATGAATGTAAATTTGACTAATCTTTATTTTTGAGGGGGGAAAATCATCCAATGACTTCCCGCCCGGGTGAGGCGGGAGGGAGTGTCAGACTCTTACTGACTAAAAACCACCCCGTTCCTTCTCCTGCACGTCGAGCCGGAGCCCCGGTAACCCGTTAAGTCTTCATTTGACTAACCTGCCTTATCGCTAGTTACTCCGCGAAGGTTGTAAGCAGGACAGGAGGTGAAGTACAATACTCTGAGCGCGGGGTAAGCAGTAGTCAGGTATTGTTTCCACCCCGCTACTACTGAGGAGGGTACTAGGTCTATCTTGTTTAGCACTAGAATCATATCCTTTTTCTGTTCCTGTATATACGAGTAGAGGGATGGCGGGAACATCATGCCCTGGAACGAAAATGAAGTTTTATTAATAGCCTTTTATCCCCGAAGGGGTAGACAGAGGTGTACATTACGGCACTTAATGCCACTGTACAATGTAACACCCACTTTTCACTATCCTTACTTATATTATAAATCGGAGTGAGTTTGTTTGTTTGTTTGTTCCGCTTTCACGCCGTAACTACTGAACCGATTGCTTTGAAATTTTGCAGAGGTAAAGTTAGAAGTCTGGATTAAATAATAGGGTACTTTTTATCCCGGAAAAATTTGATATTCCCGAGGGAATACAAAAGTATTGGTATAGATGGCGCTGTGTGTATTGATATATGTCACATAGGCTACTTTTTATCCTTTTGTGACGCGAGCGAAGCCGCAGGTAAAAGCTAGTTTATGTTATAAGTCCCATGTCATAGGGGGTGAGTCTATTGCCATATACCGGACACAATTCATGTTTTAGTTTAACCCTTTTTTTTAAGGGGGGAAAATCATCGAATGACTGCTCCCGCCTGGGTGAGGCGGAAGGGAGTGTCAGACTCTTACTGACTAAAAACCACCCCGTTCCTTCTCCTGCACGTCGAGCCGGAGCCCCGGATACCCGTTAGGTTCTCCGCGACTTACTTTAACCTTTTGAGTACCGTCATTATAGACACAATTAAAGAACAACAGGTTGCGGTCACCGGTGTCCTCGCGGTGTTTGACAGTATAAAGTCGTAACTTAACTTACAGCGTATCTGACGTCGACAATAAGCAACAGTATGTCACACATTTCTAGGACCCTCCACAGCTGTCTCCAGGTCTCCAGGTTCAGCTCGAAGTACGACATCTTCTTCCAGTGCTCTGATGCTTGGAGAATGTCTATGTAGTTCTGTTATAACAAAAATTTCATTCATACATACATAACAAGTGAAACAAGTGAATTTATTTCTGCAAATATGCTACAAGGCAGCACTTTTACACGTCAATTTTATCAAGCGAACGATGAGGCCGATAACCTCACGCCTCTCTGCCATAGGAGTAGACAAAGTATGGATTTTTTGTGGTAGAGCCATGCTTCGGCCGGCTGGGCCGGCTCGACCGGAGTGATACCACGGCCGAGCAGAAAACCGACGTGAAGCAACGCTTGCGTTGTGTTTCGTCGTGTGAGTGAGGTTACCACAACGTCGGTTACGGAGGCCAATTACCCCCTCCCCCCTTTCCCAATTTCCCCAATCCCTGAATCCCCAACAATCCTCAAATTCCTAATCCCCAAAAGGCTGGTAACGCATTTATAACGCCTCTGGCATTCCAGGTGTCCATGGGCGACACCGATTGCTTACCATCAAGTGATCCGTCTGCTCGTTTACCGGCTTATGCCATAAAAAAAAAATGGAAATGGAATTCTTTGACACCTTAGTGGTGTCAGCAATAAAAACCAGGTTTTTTATATAAATCAATGCTCAAGTGCATAAAGTGCAAATTACCTTAAAATATCTCTGTTCCTGCGCGTCTAGTTGTGCCGGGGTCATATTAAAGTCCCATGGCGGTCGCTTCGGGAATGATACGTCCGCTGGGAAGTAGTCCACAGGATTGACTTCTAAGTCTTTTTCTGGTACCGGAATTAGCTCTTTACTGTGAACAAGAGGGTAGTTTCTAAATTTTATTTTAATGTCCGTCTGGTACATTTATTTAAAACTATAGACACGTATTTTTTTTTTTCTCACAATATTAATAGTTTCGACGATATATCAACTCGTCAAGCACCGTATTTATAGACACAATTAAAGAACAATAGGTTGCGGTCACCGGTGACCGCTCGGTGTTTGACAGTTTAATTTGAAATATCGTGTGACGTCACAACGTGTCACACTTTGTAGCACGTTATGACGTAACGACCTCCCACTCCTAAACTTAGCCATTTTATCTAAGTATTGCAACTTAATACGAGAAAAAAATACGTGTCTAATATTTTTTCATTATCTAACTGACGGACTAATTAGATTTTTAATTTTGATACCCTGGCAACTACCCAATTGAATTAATTTTATTGGTTCATTGGTTGACAACCAACGGCAATTACCAATGTGTCATTTTTCTAGTTATACAAGGTGTCCCTGAAGTCGACGACCAAATGGCACCAGGTGATCGGCCAGGTTATAACAGTTATCAGAAAAATCTTAAAAAAATCCAAGTCAGATAGTTTTTAAATTACAATGACTTATGTGTTATCCACGAAAAAGTACACCCTGAGCCAGTCTTTTGACTCTCGTTGCTACAATTCTTTATTTATTCGTCTTGCAATGTGGAGCAATGAGGGAGACGTGTTGTTGTTAGGAGTAACTTTAATTAAGTGTCTTAATATCTACCTTACGCTACTTACTTATAGGGCGAGGTGTCACACACACTACAGTCTGTATTTTTGCTTACGTTGTCCTGAATAGTGCTCCAGTATTGTGGAATCCCAAATTCGGAACCAACAGCTTTAGTTTAGAAAACAATATCATATTTTGATGAACAAAGTATTCTCAATAAAATTTTCACCTTACTTTAATGTCCCTAACGTAGACCTTAGAAACACCCTATATATATATATAAAAAAAAAAATAAAACCCACAGTGCTTCTTCCTTTTTAATCTTCAGTTCCTCTTCAGTCTCTCTGTAGAACTTGAGCGCGTATCTGTTGGTGTCTCGGCCGCCTCGCCCGCGCGTCGGCTGGTAGTTCACTGATACCACGTCGTACGAGGTCGTGCCTGATGAGGCTGGGGGAGAAGGTGGCTACTGGCTTAAATGGTTACTTTGAAGATGGTGTACAAGTGCATATTATGAATATGATAAAGAAGACCATAGTGTTTTTTTAAGGGGGGAAAATCATCGAATGACTGCTCCCGCCTGGGTGAGGCGGAAGGAAGTGTCAGACTCTTACTGACTAAAAACCACCCCGTTCCTTCTCCTGCACGTCGAGCCGGAGCCCCGGTAACCCGTTAGGTTCTCCGCGACACATGCTGGTGGCTAGGACGAACTTACTGGCGAAAGCCGCAGTTACGCAAGCTATCCGTAATATAAATGTTGTGCACGAGCAAATAGATATTTTTACCTGTCAGCCGAGTGAATTCACAAAGATTCTGTATATCTCTATATCTTTCAATGGAGTGACTGTATTGTTTTTTATTATATGCCCTAGATATTTTACAGAGTCCTGCGCAAAGTTGCATTTTGTAAATTTTAATTTGAAACCCTCTTTTAAAATTGCTTCCAATAACAAAGACACATGCTTAATATGTTCTTGGAATGTTTCAGAAAATACTAAAATATCGTCAATGTAATTGACAGTAAAGTTTGACAATTTATGCTTTCTTATTATGCTACTCAGTATTCTTTGAAAAATAGCGGGAGAAGTTTTCAAGCCAAAAGGTAAACAAGTCCATTGAAAGTGTGCTTCTTGAGTAACAAATGCCGTTTTGTGTCTATCTTCAATTCTAAGTGGTATAGACCAGAACGCAGAGTTTACATCAAATGTTGAAAAAATTTTACATTTTCTTGTTTTAACCATCAGATCCTCGATTAACGGAAATGGTTGCGATTGGGGGACTACAATTTTATTTAATTCGCGAAAATCTATACAAAGCCTTGATCTCCTTCCATCTTCTTTTTTAAATGCTAGTGTTACCGGAGCGGCAAAAGGGCTATATGACTCCTCGATTAAATTATTTTGTAATAATTTTGATATTTGATGCTCGATTTCTTTCATATCCTCAATAGAGCACCTATACGGTCTTTTACTACAGTATTTATCTATCAACAAATCAATATGAGCTTCGTAACCTTTAACAGTCCCTATATCAAATTTGTCTTTAGCGAAAACTGAATTATATTTGGATATCAATTTATCAATTTCAGATTTTTCCTGTGCGTTTAAATTATTTACTGAAATATTAAAATTTTCGACTATAATATTTTCATTAAAGTTTATAGTAAACTCATGCACAATAGTTTCTTTTTTATTTTTCTTTGTTATGTCCACACCTTTTTTTTTACAATATATATCTTGTTTATTCCCTATTTCACTACCTGTACTGCCAGGAATTTCTTTAGTGTTTATAGGTTGTTTTTCATTATTTTCTAAGTAGTCTCTATTATTATTGGTTAGGACATTTTGGATGATGTTTAAATTCTCATTTTGAGTTAAATGAAATTTTTGTATACAGTCTAACCCAACTAAGAAATCATAGTCGAAGTTGTCTTCATCTATAACAAAAATATTAACATGTTTTTCAATTTCGAAAATTTTAATTTTTAAAGTTACCATTCCTATCGATTTTTTTACGCCATTAATCGTTTTTAAACCTGCATTATTGTCATTAGTATGTATTTTTTTTAAAGACAATAATCTTGAATTTATTAAGGACACATTAGATCCTGAATCATAGATTCCTGATATTTCCAAAGTGTCATTTATTAGTAATTTAATTTTTATTAATGGCGGTACTATTAGTTTTTTGGATCAATTTCATTTAATTCCAACTCTAATTCTGAATTGTTAACACTTCTTATTTGATCCTTTTTTGGCCTATCATTATTTTTGAACCAGCATTGAGATTCAGGGTGATAACGTATACCTTTATTCTCTTTTTCACATATTTTACACGGATTAACCAAGGGTTTTACATTATTCTCTTTAATTTTACTTTCGGAAGATCCTATTTTTTTATCAAACGAGTTCTTTACCATGTGTTCTAACCTTCTTAAATTTTGGAATAAGTCTTCAGTTTCCTTTAAACTATTCCTATCAATTTTATCTACTATAAAATTCGGTAGTCCAGTAGCAATCAAATCAATCAAAGTTACTTTATCTATGGACTTATTTATTTCTAAAAGTAGTCTCTCTTTCTTTAACGCATATTCCAGTAATGAGCCCTGTCTGTATTTAAATAACATTGCATACCTGATTGGTGACCAACCCTTATCAGCATAAGTTTCACAAAAGTTTTTCTTCCGCACTGCCCATTCTGAATTTATAGTGTGCTTTATAAGCATGGAACTATACCAATCTAAACAAGAACCTTCTATAAATAACCTAAAAATTTCTATTTTCTTGACATCTTCTTCTATTCCTACACGGACACATTCTTTTTCGAAGGTAGTCATCCACTGGGTCACATTAGTAATCTTGCTATTGAATTTTTGTATAACAAATTTTTCTACCATTTTTGCCATATTAAAAGGTTTTGATGAATCTTTCTTTATGTCTGTGAAGCTTTCCATGATTCTAGTTAGAGATTCTTCCGAAATTCCTGCTGCAGAAGTTTGTGGTTTTGTTTGTTCCTCCAATAAGTATCCCTTAAATTGTTTATTTCCTTCTTCATCACAATAAACCGCCTTCATCTCCGGGTCCATGGATATCCACACCTGTCGTTTCTCGTGTCGCTTTTGCAAAGTTGCCTTTACTTTCTGAAAGATTTGTGTTTCTACTATTCCAGTATGTAATTTTGCAGGTTGTAACTTATCTGGGATCGCAAAGGTTCGGCCATCTGAATCCGTAATTGTCGTTACACAAATTATATTTGTTTTTACATCATCACTGGCTTTTACCATGAACTCAAACTTAAATTTTTCCATTATTCCAGGTAACCAGCTGTAGAAATGTTGTTTTATAATATGATATTTATTATTGTCCTTGATACAGTAAAACTATAACCAAATTTTAGTTGCTCTGAAAAGAGAATTTTATTTTATTACCTATTTACAAAATCTAGTTTAAAACTTTTACAAAACATTCTTTAATAATAACTATGCACTAATTTTACCTGAAAAGAGAAACAACATTTAGAGCTATTGTTTCACCAGTTCTTATCAATTATTCTAATTACATTACTTGTACATAACAATTAACCATTTTACTTTTCATATTTTTCACAGTCATTCAATATGACAGTTTACTCCACAGATTAGTTATTTCACAGATCAAAAATACCTCAATGTTATGACACGGCAAATCCAAACTATACAAACTAAATGAAGTGTCACGCACTTTGTTTACATATAATTTATGTTATCTATCTATATAAAAAGAAAGTCGTGTTAGTTACACCACTTATAACTCAAGAACGGCCAGGAGACCGACATAGGATACTTTTTAACCAAAATTTTTTTTTTACTTTTTTCCGAAAATCACGAACGGGGACGGGAAAAAATGGGATTACGCGTACGAAGTCGCGGGCAGAAGCTAGTAGATAGATAAAAATAACGCTATTTGTCTTTGTTTTATTAATTTTAATACAAGGTTTGTTTTTTTTTCGGTATCTCTGTAATAGTTTGGATTTCTTTATTAGTTTGTATAAGTTTAATATGGTGTAAGGTGTCGCTAGATTTTTATAATACCTTGTTATGGAATTGGGTCCTAAACCTGTAATGTAACTTGTGTGTATAATAATTAATAAATAAATAAACATCACGCCTTTAATCCCCAAAGGGGTAGCCAGAGGGGTGACGTCAAGTTTTTTATGCGTCAAACAGCATAGTAATTTTTTAAAAAAAATGCTAGAAATATGCTAAAATTAATTTGGTTTTAAAATCAATTAATGAAAGTGTGATTATTTTTTTAATATTTAATTGTATTGAACAGTCGAAATGATATATTTTTTACTATTGGTCGTAGCGTGATGTTTTATAGCCTATAGCCATCTTCGATAAATGCGCTATCCAACACAAAAAGAATTATTCAAATCAGACTGGTAGTTACGGAGAATACCGCGTTCAAACAAACAAACAAACAAAAAAACAAACTCTTCCGCTTTATATAATAATACTAGTAAAGTATAAGATAATATTAGTATCAGTTGATATGATAGTATGACTTGTAAGTGTAATATTGATTGTCTATTACTTTACCGTATTATCTATGGAATACAGTGTATATGTTACCGGCCAAACCCGATTTCAGGAAAAACTAGTTTAGCCTAGGCTAAACTAGTTCTTCCTATACGCGTTAGGATGAACTAGTATAGCCTAGTTCAAACTAATTTGTCCTAAGCCCGATAGGATAAACCAGTTTAGGCAAGGACAAACTAGTTGATCCTGATATAAATAGGCGCACTCTAGGATAAACTGCTATGGCGTAGTCTAAACATTCTAATATAGGTATCTAGAAAGTCAAAATAAATAGATAAATTAAATTAAATACTCCTTAATTGGTAAAATAATCATTTTCATTAAACTATAATGATTCTTCGTTAAAACTTATGGTTAATTGGTAATACAAACTATAACAAATAATAAGTGTTATTTAAAAGAAGCAATAATTATTTAAATGTTATTAATTTAAAATCATAATGATTCGTTGCTACAAGTTGTAGATAATAATTGGCAATACAAACAATCATACTATAACTGACAATAGGTACTGTTTATTTATCACATAACATCACGCCTTTTACCCCCGAAGGGGTAAGCAGAGGTGCACATTATGCCACTGGACAATGTAACACCCACTTTTAACTATTTATGTTACGAGTCCCATGTAACAGGCCTATTGCCATATACCGGGCATAATTCCAGACTCCGTGCTACTACTGAGATTTTGTTTTTAAAAACCTAGTAAGTAATACTATGCCCGATCCGGGAACCGAACCCGAGACCCCTTGCCCGGCAGTCGCATTTGCTACCACTTGGCTAACGAGGCAGTCACCCTGTTTTTTAATAAACGCAATAATCATACTATGACTACGCCATACCAGTTTATCCTAGAATGTGCGTATTTATATCAGGATCAACTAGTTTGTCCTAGCCTAAACTGGTTTATCCTATCGGGCTTAGGCCAAATTAGTTTGAACTAGGCTATACTAGTTAATCCTAATGCGTACAGGAAGAACTAGTTTGGCCTAGGCAAAACTAGTTTGTCCTGAAATCGGGTTTGGCCGGTAACATATACAATATTATTATCTGTGCAATAAAGAAATATTATATTAGAAACCATTACACTGCGTTTTAATAAAACCTCTGGGCCACCACGACATAGTTTTGGCTATGATATATCAATGTATTAAAGGTTTTGTTGACCGACTTTAATAAAGGAGGAAGTTCTCAATTCGACTGTATGTTTGTTTGTTTTTTTTGTGTATTTTTCTTTTTCAGGTCGCTATAAAATCTAAAACTAAGCAAAATGTTAGTAAAACTAAGTAGTTTTACTAACATTATGCCAAAACGAGGCAGGCAGAAGGCTGCCTGCCTCGTTTTGGCCGTGTGGTCGCAAGTGCGACTGCCGGGCAAGGGGTCTCGGGTTCGATTCCCGGGTCGGACAATGTATTACTGTGTTTTTAAAACAAATCTCAGTAGTAGCACGGAGTCTGGAATTGTGCCCGGTATATGGCAATAGGCACACTCCCTATTACATGGGGCTCATAACATAAATAGTGAAAAGTGGGTGTTACTTCTGTGTGCACCTCTGCCTACCCCTTCGGGGATAAAAGGCGTGATGTTATGTTTATGTGTAAAACTACTTACTGGACATCAGAAGGGTCTTGTTTTGTTTCTTAGACTGCAACTGCTGCTTTTTAGCTTTCCCGCTGAAGGGAGTCTTGCGGCGAGCTTGCGGCATTGTAGCTTAGCGCTGAAAATTAAATTAATATAAGGCAAAGTCAAAATCATTTATTTTAATTAGACCAGAAAGGCAGTTTTGAACATCAACAATAAAATTATAAAAAGTGAAGCTACTTGCTCATTCCAATGTGTAGATTCCTATGTAGAAGAACGAGCAAGAAACTCCATAGGTTACTCTTTTTCAATCAGGTTCACAATACAATTCTCTAGTTACATAGTTTGCTGTTTAGATTGTGCGAGAACAATGTAACACTAAAATCTAGTCAAAGTGATTGAAAAAGAAAATAACCTTAAAGACAATAAATAATACAGTCTGGAGCTGACCAGTCCCAGTTGACAGCGCCCGTTCACGAACATGACACGTACACCAGCACCGCCCAACTCAACCATATTGTAGGGAATCGAGCGATCCAATGCACGCGCCACCGCCAATGAGACCTTTGAGTGAGCATGACAACTCCAAGCTGAACCAAATGCATTCTACTAGTCTAATTTATATAAAAATCTATACCGATAAATGAAATGGGAGTGTGTTTGGAATATTAAAATTACCACTTTTTACTACATGCATATGAATATACATACAATACACATACCAAAATAAAATGCGAGAAGAAATCCAAAAGTAAGTAAATTGTCAAATCAATGGATGAGAGTGTGATTATTTTTTAATTATTTATTGCATTGAAAAGTTGAAACAATTTATTTTAAACTTAGGAAACTAAGCCAATTATAGGTACTGCTTGTAGTAAGCTATAGTTGCAACCAGCAACTTAAATAGCGCTTTTTTGCAAACAAATTTAAATTGGCTGGCTCCTAAGATGACACACTGACTAGGGCTGTCTTAGACTATGATGGGGCCCTGGGAAAATAATAATTCGCTGCCGTTTTAGAAGGTTTTAGTATTTTCTCATATATCATAGGTGCATATACAAATGTATAGCGGGTGTGTGTCAAGGACATTGTCGGTGGTTCAGCGTCCCCTGAGAATGGGGGCCCTGGGCATGGCCTCCCAAGTTTTGACTATTTTCTATGTGAGACATGCCATATATATTTATCTATAACATATACTAATATGTTATATATTTTATATTATTTATATATTTATACATCTATATCTATTATTTATCTATAACAATAATCAATCGATAAATTATTCAAGAAAAACTATATTTAGCCTTAATTAATCATTACTATATTGACAAATGATTTATTATATTTCACAATATTGTGTTTAGTATTAAAAACAACGCATGCCGGCCGGGTGCGACACAGGAATTTTAATGAAACTTCGTATTTTTTGTAACAATCTAATTAGAATCCATGAATAATAGTCTCCCTTCAAGATAATACGGAAAGTTTCAACTCATAAATCATGAAAAAACATGCTAATTATTGATAAACACGCAAGATATATAGAAATATATGTTTTATATTTATGTTTTAGACACGCGGTTATAAAGTTATCTAATTTTGATTAAAAACTATGATTATGTACGGGAAAAGTTTACCTGTAAGCCGCTGATGGATTAAGCGTTATTTTTGAGTAATTAAGAAGAGGTTTAATAAAAGGAATAATTCCAGAGTTTTCAAGTGAAATCTACAATCAGCCGTTCACAAATTGTCAATGCTTCCACTAAAAAAACATATGGTTATGAAGGATTAGGCATCTCTTTCTATCTAAGCTGATAACACTATTGTTAAAACGAGACGAAAAATTACATGCTTTTTGTATCTAGAATTGTTAACTGGAACGCAAAGTTGGTTGATTGACAGTCTAAAAAAAGATGCGTTCATTTTAGACCAGGAAGTTTGAATAAATATTCTCGTAAATTCTATAATTTTAGCCATGAATATTCTTCCTAAAGTATTACTATTGCTCCAGAAAGTAAACTTTTTAACCGTTTCACTTCAAAAGAGTCAAAAAAGAAATTACCATGCAAAACGAAACCAAAACGCAAACATATGTCAATGACTAATCGAAGTGTCAACGTAAAACAACCTAATTTTCTAACCTCCAAAACAGTGACATTTTGTAAAAACATCAACCAAGCGAGAAGAAAGCTGCTTATTTATTTACTTCAAAAATACAATTTAAAATAGCTTTATAATCCAAAATGTTGCCGTTATCGCTCCTTCGTACAGCGCAGAACCATCCAATGCTGGTAGAATTAAAAAATGGCGAAACCTACAACGGCCATTTAGTTAGTTGTGATAACTGGATGAATATTAACTTAAGAGAAGTTATTTGTACGTCTAGAGATGGTGACAAGTTTTGGAGGATGCCCGAGTGCTATATCAGAGGCAGTACTATCAAATATTTGCGTATTCCAGACGAAGTTATCGACATGGTGAAGGAAGAAACCCAGGTATGTTTTTCAACTTTATTTTTGTTTAGATGGTGAAAGTATACATGCATTTTATTGTTAGGCTCTAGATTTTATTGTAATATTTAACTTTATATGATTAATTTTGACATAAACCCTTTGAGTACCGTCATTATAAACACAATTAAAGAACAATAGCTTGCGGTCACCTGTGTACACGCGGTGTTTGACAGTTTAAAGGATTATGATAAGGATTTGTGCTATGTGGGTTGATATTGTGCAATGTAACAAAAAAGGGGTAAAATCATCCAATGATTTCACCCGCAAATCATCCAATAATTTGAGGCGAGAGGGAGTGTCAGGCTATTACTGACTTAAAACCAGCACATTTTTACTCCTACTCTTTGAGGTAGAACCCTGGCAACCCGTTAAATCCTCTGTAGCTGTAGCAACATATCTACAGAAACATCATGTATGTTTTCAGGTCAAGTCCAGAAGCCGTAGTGAAGTCTCCAAAGGTCGAGGCGGTGGTCAGAATATGAGGACAGGTCGTGGTGGAAACCGAGGTGCATTCGGTAACCGTGGACGACCAGCGCCCCTAGCCCGAGGGGGTGGTAATCAAGGACGAAACCCACAGCAGAATAAAAACAAGAAATAGTTTTTTGTAATTGTAATTCTCATGAGACATGATTAATTTACCCTTTGAACGCTACAGTTGGTTATAGACCATAAACAGAACCATAACCAGGAACTTCTTACCGAAATCAGTGTTTCTCGACAAATATAACGTAGGTGTTTTCAAGTCCCGAGTGAACAGGTTGCTCATAGGTAGGCGTGCTCCATTGTTAGCCGCATCATTGCTTACCACCAGGCGAGATGGAGGCCAAACGACGACCTGTCAAGTATAAAAACAAAAACATTATTTTTAACAAGCTTTTATTAAGGAATGGTCTGTCGGCGGCTATTTCCAAACCGATACTACTTTCAAACCTTCAAGAAAGAACATATTCATTTTAAAAGGCCGGCAACGCACCTCTGACTCCTCTGGTGTTGCGTGTGTCCATGTGCGGCGCTGATCGCTTACCATCAGGTGATCTGTATGCTCGTTGGCCTCCTCCATAAAAATAAATATTCAAATGATGAGGCAATTAGAAGCGTGTTCCTAAATATATTAAAGTAAATTTTGTTTGTCATATATATCTGACTGTGGCGTTCTGAAGGTTACGTAATATGTTAAATCGTTTACTTAACTATATAGCATGCTAAGGTGATCAATCCAGAGGCCGATTAACCTCTGGTATATCGGAGCGTAGATCAACGCGAGACAATGTGTTTTATATTGTGTCTCATATACCGATATACAAGAGGTTTTAAGCTAGAGAGCTTCCTAGGCAAGCATAATAAGCGCCTCTAATTTCTTTTGGTGCTACCGCCAACTGTAAGGCTCTAAACAGACGAACCACATTTCATAACCAATCCAATCGCAAATTGCAGTTCGGATGTAGTCAGCACGTAGTTGACACGACTGCAATGGAACTGCAATCAGAGTGCTTGTTTTGTTTGCAATCGTTCATTCATGACTGCAATAGAACTGCAATCAGAGTGCTTGTTTTGATTGCAACCGTTTAGTCATGACTGCAATAGAACTGCAATCAGACTGCTTGTTTAGTTTGCAACCGTTTGGTCATGACTGCAATAGAACTGCCATCAGACTGCACGTTTGGTCATTACTGCAATGGAACTGCAATCGGACTGCACGTTTTGTTTGCAACCGTTCAGTCATGACTGCAATCGGACTGCACGTTTTTTTTGCAATCGTTTGGTCATGACTGCAATAGAACTGCAGTCGGACTGCTTGTTTTGTTTGCAACCGTTTGGTCATGACTGCAATAGAACTGCAATCAGAGTGCCAAGCACAAATACCTATCGCATTCGTAACGTAATAGTATCGAGCGCGTTCGGCGCTCTGATTGGCCGGCTCAAGTGAACCAACCAATCAGAACGCTTAACTCGCTCAATACTGTTACGATACGATTGCGATAGTTATTCGTGCTTGGCCATCAGACTGCTTGTTTAGTTTGCAATCGTTTGGTCATGACTGCAATAGAACTGCAATCAGACTGCTTGTTTAGTTTGCAACCGTTTGGTCATGACTGCAATAGAACTGCAATCAGACTGCTCGTTTTCTTTGCAACCGTTTGGTCATGACTGCAATGGAATTGCAATCAGAGTACACGTTTTGTTTGCAACCGTTTGGTCATGACTGCAATGGAACTGCAATCGGACTGCTCGTTTTGTTTGTAACCCGTTTGGTCATGACTGCAATGGAACTGCAATCAGACTGCTTGTTTTGTTTGCAACCGTTTGGTCATGACTGCAATAGAACTGTAATCAGACTGCTCGTTTGGTATGCAACCGTTTGGTCATGACTGCAATGGAATTGCAATCAGAGTACACGTTTTGTTTGCAACCGTTTGGTCATGACTGCAATAGAACTGCAATCAGAGTGCTTGTTTTGTTTGCAACCGTTTGGTCATGACTGCAATAGAACTGCAATCAGAGTGCTTGTTTTGTTTGCAACCGTTTGGTCATGACTGCAATAGAACTGCCATCAGACTGCACGTTTAGTTTGCAGTTCAATTGCAGTCGTGACACGACTGCATTGAAATTG